AAACGCAAACAACCACAATCAGACCACCAACGACAACAACCACAATCAGACCATCGACGACAACAACCACAATCAGACCATCAACGACAACAACCACAATTAGACCATCAACGACAACAACCACAATCAGACCATCGACGACAACAACCACAATCAGACCATCAACGACAACAACCACAATTAGACCATCAACGACAACAACCACAATCAGACCATTAACGACAACAACCACAACCATCCCGTCAACGACAACAACCACAATCAGACCATCAACGACAGCAAGCACAACCACTTTCACAGTCATTGTGCCAACCAGTAAGTAACAAGGTGCTTTATCGATGATCCACCTGATCACTTTATAGAGTATCTATTTCACAAAGAAACAGGATGGTGAGGTCGCGGATCGAAATATTCCCGCATGTTTTCTGCTAAACTTCGGTATAAAAATGCAGCTGGTAAAGAAACATTGTTTTCAATGCGTGTCTTGCCTTTTGCTTTTGATCGGCAATGAAATTCTCCAGGTGTCAAGTAGCTTTTCACTTAAGACTGTTAGCATTTGATAGGTTTTGATTAGTAGTGAAGAGCTTCTGTTGATTTGAACGTCTTTCGTTTTGTAGACGAGTTCTATGCGCTTCATCAAAGGTCATCGAGTCCACACATAAAATATGTCGCATAGATTCCAAGTACGACACTACCACTGTATCAGACTAACTCAACCTACGGATTTCAGCGTATTGTTTTTGATACTCTTTGCAAAATCGTTATTTTTGATCGTTTTTAAGTCTTTTCTGACGGAACCAGGACCTATGTTGAAATCTCAACTAGTTATCTTTTCTATCATCGTGGCTGATTTACGTCTATTTATGGTGTTTTCGAAGTTTTTTCCAGAAATGAAAATCCAATAAATGCTTTGAGTTATACTGTTACCTTATAATCCCTGAGGAATTGAAAACCTATCGTATTACACCGAAATATGTGAGCTTTTGAGCAAATAGAATATGCCATGATCAGATAGACGGTCTTATTGTGGATTCTACAGATATCCGTAACATACTTCTAAGGTGAGAAGATTTGGTAGAGAGGCAATCTTGTAACCTTAAAATTGCCCTTCATATTTGACATCAATTCAAATTGAACGTCAGTCATGCTCTATCTAGATACGTATTGCTGTAATTATTTTAAATGAATCTTTTTTTTCGTAATTCTCGCGTTTTATCAGAAATCGATTTAAACTATCCCCATCTTCAAGACTGTGAAACTTTAGTGCAAATCTGTACAATAGCAGTTCATCTGCGAGGTTCATGTCGATTATGTACTGATTTAATAATGTTTTATTTTTCAAATACTGCACAGCAAAGAACTTTCATGATGTCCTATCTGCTGTGCATAAAATCAACGAATGTGGGTGAATGTTCTCAGAATTTTGTCTCAATATACGGAGGAAACTCATTAACGCAACATTAGTGTACAAGATCTGCGTATTACTTGTAGGGCTAACTAAATTAGTTTTTTGCTGTTTAGGATGGTTGAACACGAACAGTATGAACTTTGGACGATATTTTCACACAGCATCCACGTTGTCAAATGGGAAAGTCTTAGTTGCTGGAGGATTCAGTTATAATACATATAGTTATAATGTTGTTTGTTTGAGTAGTGCAGAAATGTATGATCCATCCACAGAGGTCTGGACAAAGACTCGCAACATGACAATCGGACGATGCAGCCACACAACCTCTATTTTGACGAATGGAAAAGTGTTAATTGCTGGAGGATACAATTATGATATATATAGTTATAATACCGTTTACTTGAATAGTGCAGAAGTGTATGATCCATCTACAGGGCTCTGGGCAAAGACTGGCAACATGACAATTGGACGATACAGCCACACAGCTACCATCTTGACGAATGGAAAAGTCTTAGTTGCTGGTGGATACAGTAATAATGGATCTTTGAATACTGCAGAACTGTACGATCCAGCAACGGGACTGTGGGCAAAGACCGGCAGCATGACTACTGCAAGGGCTACTCACACAGCTTCCGTCTTGACCAATGGAAAAATTTTAGTTGCTGGTGGATACAGTTATAACGGATCTGTAAATAGTGCAGAACTGTATGATCCATCCACAGGACTCTGGAAAAAGACCGGCAACATGAGTGTTCAGCGGTACTTTTATACAGCATCAACACTAACGAATGGAAAAGTGTTAGTTGCTGGTGGATCAGCCGTTAATGGATTCAACAATAGTTTTTCGAATATTGCTGAATTGTATGATCCATCTACAGAACTCTGGGCAAAGACTGGCAACATGAGTGTTCAGAGGGCCTATCATACAGCATCAATATTGACGAATGGAAAAGTCTTGGTTACCGGTGGAGTAGTATTTAATGAATTCGGCTATAATCGTTTATTCAATAGTACAGAAATGTATGATCCGTCAACAGGATTATGGACGGTAACTGGCAACATGAATAATGCAAGATGCGCACACACAGCCTCCTCGCTGCTCAATGGAAAACTTTTGATTGTTGGAGGAGAAAGTTTTAACGGCTCTCTAAGTAATGCTGAACTATATGCGTAACCGTTTTCAAACAGAGATATTACTGATTAAACTGCAGCTTGTAGTTTGCTTTTTTGACTAATTATTTACTCCTGAATTGTTAACAAATACAATTAAATTCAGATGTCTCAGACGTATCTTGGACCGAATAAATGATTGCAAACTTTATGCATTCTGTCTTTGCTTCTTGTTCAAGATAAAAGATGAAAAACGCCAAGAAAGAATAGCAAAGTGTATAGAAGTTTATCAAAACATCAAATACTACACATAATATTCTGTGAGTAGGCTCATTTATTCCGTACTCTATACAGCACTGCCAGTTGTGCGGGTATGGGTGTAACTCTTCACGTCACCTACACCCATACCGCCTTCTACCCACAGCCCCATCGCATCCAATACTTCTTCAAATTGTACTTACTTATGCGTTAACATGTTATGCAAGGATAAGATAAAACTAAATGGAATTTTATTGGAAGTGCGAAAGTTTTCAATATACATATTAATCACAATATAAAATATGAATCAAAATGTAAACAGCTTTTAATACTTATTAGTTTGCTCTATACTTTTTTTTGTTAGTTGTTGTTCTTACGATGTATTTGTATATTTGTCAAGCCAAATGCATAAAGAAGAATTATTTAGTTGATAAGTACAATATCTTTTCTCGTTCTGGAACCATGCAAGGTGCATGTCAGAAGCACTATAAGCAGTATTTATGTATTGAAATTTGATGCTTGACCTGTGTTTCATATGATGGAGGACCATTTGCATCTGTTGCAATTCAGATACGGAAATTGTAAGATGTCTCACTTGATCAGGAACTATAGAACAGATTTGAATAGTACGATCGTATATGGGCTCATAGTTGCTAAAAATCAATATTTTAAGTGAACGAATATTGTGCGTCAGCTTCAATAATGTATGAATATTGACTGTCGATTCCGAATGAGAATAAAATGAATTGTTCACTTCTAATGAAAGTTTAACAAGGTGCGATAGATCGATGAGAGTCGACAGGATGCGCAGTGAACCCAATGGCCATTCCTGGTCAATGCGTAGTGTAAGTTCATCAATTTGAGGAAACACTGCATTATTCGGCAAGCCACCCTATACATAATAAACAATTTCTAAAATATGATATTATTTGAATGCTATTTTATAACAGACTAAGAAAAATATTCTCCATTGAGCAAGATTCGTCGTTCATATTATTAAACGAAGTGATTTTCTAGTGATCTTTATTATGTTAATGTTGAAAGGGTAAAATCAAAACATATTGTGGCCTATTACGTCCACTTTAGTTGCGTATTTTGTTTTGAAAATATTCGTTGAAATTTAACATCTCGTTTTCGCTTGATTGCGCCGCTTAATCTAGCTTTTCAATGACCTATTCCATATTAACAACAACCTAATGGCAGAAAAACTGTATAATCTATCGTTACGTATCTTACTGATACATTAACATATATATATGGAAGGAGGAAGAACTTTCTCAATATTCATGTGAATCGTTGTATAAGCAAGGGAATCGTTTGGACGTTATTGTTATCTAGCGCTTCCATGCGAATAACTGAGATATGAATTAAAAAGCGGTCGAACGTTTTTCGAGACTTTTTATCGAAAACAATAGCAAAAGAATAAGAAGAACACTTAATAATACCAATGGTAGATGAAGGGTTTGCTAAGAATCAAGTAAAGATGCCAGAAATATGATCAACACATTTTCTATTTGAACCTCATTATAATCGACGAGAAAAAATTTTTATTGATTCTCTGAACTACATTTTATACGTCAAGAACATCATAATCCAACCTTCAAAGGTTCGATATCGCTTTCGATCAGCTATCCCAAATCATGATTTAGGTTAAAACCCGGATATTTGAAGATATCTTCCGAACTTCAACAACTGTCTAAAAACTAAAACCATCTTTTCAAGTGAACGTTTAATAAGGTCTTTCTGTAACCAAAACTTCGGTCGTTCATTATTTTTCGATCCATAGATATATTGCACGCACAAATTGTGAACAAAAACTACTGTTCACACGTTACATGGCAACTGGCAGTTCTAAAATATTCTCTCATTTTTTTTCGACCTAGATCTGATCCGCAGTATCCTAGATGAAACAAAATTGGTGCATTCTCAGAGTTGAAATAATAGTATTGACATCCCGTTGGGTAATTCTGTTGTCGCTTGGGTACTAAAAATCAGGTATTAGCTAACTGTGTGATTCGTTTCCATTAAAAACTTCAAGTGATCTGTATGCACTTTTGCCGAGATATAAAGTTCCAAAAATAGCATTAAAAGTGATTATTTCTTGCTAGAACTTGCAGAGAAAAAGAAGATCCTTCTTTAATTTAATCATATTTATATCCTCAATTAGTATTTTATATACAACGATCACTACATGAATGACGATAAAAGTATGGACGAACTACAAAACTATCCAATAAAAGTATAAACACGTCTCTAGTGACCTACTTATATCGAGGTTCACTTAGAATAGTTCATATATTTTGCTTTTGAAACAGAACGATGCATAAAAAAGACCATTCTAGTTAATTTTTCTTTAGATCGGTTCAAGAGTAAAGTCATTTAAAATTCTCACTTCAGGCTATGAGAAGAGAAATATCAGCGTTTAGGAATAAAACGAATCGATATTCGATCATACCTGTGGCGATGTGGCTCGAGACATCACCTTTGTTAAATCCAAACGCATTTTACGTACTCCACCCATCAGTATTGTTTTATTCATAGTTGATACTGAAGTTGAACGCCGAATTTCCTTTGATTCATAGACACATTCGAATTGAGGATCGAATATCAGTGGTGTGTAAAGAATAACTGTTCGTGGACATACAATGTGATCACATATGACAAACCAACCTTTGGTTTCAGTCCAGAATGATGCTCGAAATGGAGCTATAAGCAATTCTGTATCAATAGGGTAATCAAAATACAGTAGGTCTTCAGTGAGAAAAAACTCGAATTTTGTCAATGAAAGAAGTTTTGTCTCAACGAACTTTTCCCATGGTTGCAAATGGGATATAAAAGCATGTAAATCCACAGATCGTATCAGTAGAAGATGTTCAAGTGCGGGTGTAAGCACGAGAAGAGACTCAAGTATGATCATATCAATGCTACAGTGTTTGAAAGTTAGAGAAAGCAATTTATGAAAGAATTCCAAATTCGACAGTTCAGGAATTGTTTCATCATTAATGCTTGCATTCAACTGTTCTACTACCAGTGTTTGTAGACTGGGTAAATTATAAAGGATGTTACAATATTGATCGAGTGTAGAACAATAAATTTCCAAATGTTGTATTTTGCACTCGAAAGGCCACAATATTTTAGACATATCGAAGCTAGGAATAGTTAAATTGAGCTTGTGAAGGCTAGACAGAGATATAACTGACGATAATGCATCTGCACTTGTATTGGTTTGTGAATAATCTTGTTCCGAATGAATTGAGAGTGTGTCGAGTGTTAAAGTTTGAACATCTTTCAAAATGACATTTAAGTAACAGTCATCGATTTCCAGAAGACTTAAAGAGCGAAGTCGAGTAAAATACTTGATTCGGACGAATGAAAGAAAATATTCAATTTGACCTGGTGTCTCATCTTTATCAGAGAGTGTAAGTGATTCAATATTCTCAGGTTGAATAAAATTACAAAGGAAAAGAAAGTCTGACTTTGAAATTGAGCTAAAATCGAATTTAAATTGATCATACGTTTTGACAATCGTGTAGAACCGTTTACAAACGCTACGCAATGAACGAACAATCGTTTGTGCATCAAGATAACGGAAAATATAATGAATCAGTTCCACTGGTAATGTACAAAAAGACGGAGTCAGCTTGGTAGACATGGTCGTATGCTATCGTAAAGGTAGATGCGTCACCTCACTATTTCTTTCCAACTTGAAACGGAAGAAAAAAAAATATTTTTTTTGCTTTCTGCAATACAATAAAGAAAAACAGAAAGCAAAAATAAAAACACACATTTTCAAGCAAGTAAAACATGACACACATGTTTTATGATTCTTTCATAGAATTCGAATGCGAAATTCTATACGTGTAGGTAAAAGAGAAACTCGTAGTATTATTAAAAAAGAAACAAGAGAAAAATTTAATGTTCAAACTCAAATTTGAGTCGAATATTTGATTGCGTATGATCGATCATTCGGGCAAATAATTTTTCTACACGTCAAGCAGAACAACTGAAAATGTCTAATCAAATTGCTTGGTAGCTTACTTTGAGTGACACGGTTGCTGATATCCACATTCTTTTCTCTAAAGAAAGGATGTGAGGCAGATATTCTTCGAAAAGAATTTAAGTAGAAGTTTGTTTGTGTGAAACTGAGTATTTTCAATCAAATCTAAGTGACGTAAGAAAATTTACTGATCTTTCGATGACTACAAAGTCGTATCGACAGGATACCGTGTCAAACAGAATCGGACAATCACAACTAGCTACTTCCTCTGTGGTTATTGAAACATAGAATTCTAAATTGGAATAATTTGCCAATTTCATATCCGAGAGAATTCATACTTGCCTAGTTTTGGTGATTCTATCACAATGTTTTTGATGTAAGGGTATTTTTTCAGCAGGATATATATTATGTTTAGCTATTGCAAAGCAAAAACTTCTACTGTACACCAGAAAGTCCTTTAGAAATAATAACGAAGACGTGTGACTCGGGGACAAAAATAAAATAAGCTATTTGGTTTCTTCCAACTTTGTTCCACATAAAAAACACTTGTATATGAAGTCAATGAGTAACTGGTGTTGGCTTTTTCCAACTGACTTAAAAATAGTTTACTTTTTTCTTCTCTTTTTCATCAACCAAAATTACACGAGCCTTCTTTGATCACGACACGACTCTTCTTTTTTCTTTTTCTCATCCATACAGAACGAACGAAAGTACATAATCTTCACAGTTTTATACTAGCAAATAACTTTGATACAATGGCATCGTTCGAACCAATTGTAGTGGTATTCGGATCCAGCAAAAGCATTGCAGCTGTCAATTTGCGATTGCCCGTGTCGCTCTTATTGGCTTTCGATGTTACGTCTCTTGAAGAGCTTGTCAGTGTTACTCCACAAATTGCTGACACATGTTTATCTCGATTCTTTGTAATTCTACTCGACTCTATTGATGACGCTGTGTTGGAGCGTTTAAAAGAAAATCATCGTGTGAAAGCTGTTTACAGACGAGACATTATGGATTCTACTAGTCAGGAACAAATGAATCGAATGACAAACTCATTCAAACAACTCACACTAGACCTATCAAACGACATTGTTCGTTTTCTGACAACCGAAGGTGAAAAACAAGTCAAATTGGAACGAATCCCTCTGGTGAAGATTTATTTTCAACAAGCACGAATATTGAAACAATGGGTCATGTCGTTTTTTAAGGTAGGACCAATAAATTTGAATCCTATTGTTCGATGTTGTCTTTTTTAGGCTGAACCCTGTCATATTCTTCTTATTTCACTAAACAGTAGTCAAGAAAATATGGACAGTGCTCAACAAAGATTACAAAAAGTTTGTAAGTCTTATTCACAAAAAACCTTAAAACAACCGAAAAATTTTCTCATTTCCAATAAACGGAAGCATACCTTTATACAAGATTTACTAAATCTTCGAATTTGAAGAAGCTATGCTATGATCACTTGAGCTAAGACTTTGACGTTTCTATCTAATTAAGTTATCTCTACGGATCGAATCGAATCTAAAAAGAAACGAAGCGTAGCAATCATTTCAATTAAGAATACCATATAGTAGAATATCTCTAAAGCTGCCAGCCTTAGGACATTTTTAAAGTATAAATTTTAAGGGGGTGCACATGTTAGGAAATCTTGAGAAACTTTTCATGAAAAAAAATCTTATTCTATAAACAACTATTATTTAAGAGCTAATGAATAGAGTGGACTATATATCTTTTTCTTCTCGTAGTATTTTTCCTCAAAATTTATCCACTATCGGGAATATGAGCCAGATTTCTGAGAATTTCGAGAGATACAATTCTGACTAGCTACTTGTGAATTATTCATACTCCTGCTTATTGCCTTCCTTATCAATACAATGACCGTAAACAGTGTCTATCATCAGTGGGTTTTTAAGTCTATCTTCCTTCTCTTAGATGTTCCATGTTTCACTATTAAGATCGATAGTTTCGACTGCCGACAGTCGTTAAGACTGATCTGCTTTTGTCTAAAATTGCGTTCGAGGACAACTGAAGTTTTTTTCAATATTCAAGAGATCAAGCTTCCATGGCTGCTGATGTTATGCATTTGACAAAAAGTAAAAATAAAAAGTCATTAAGTACTGACTTTTAAGAGATATTTATTACTGCTAATGTCAGAGAAAGATGTCCATTGTCTATAATAAGAAGGTAGTCAGTTTAGAGATATTGATCTTCATTAAAAATACTGCAGAAGAATCACCAAGTGTCCATTTTAGAAGGTCACACTACAATTGGTTTTCTAGATATTCCACACTAATCTCTACGACCTACACAAAAAGAGAGAAAAAGAAGCAGTATCTTTGAATAGTATGGCTTCTATTAAGAAAGGAAGATGAATTGAAAATGAATTAAACGAATGAGCAACTTTGTGGTTCGATCTCAAACTATTTGTTGGATGTCAGATTGATTCACTAAAGAATGTTTCATGATAATCATTTACCACTATACGTTCGGAGGAAAACATACGGTTATAAAACAATTTTCCAAATTCTCAATTCAATAGTTTGTCTGATAAGTTTTCTCTCGTTGTGTTACTCAAAGTACAACGACAGAGTTTTCACTATTTGGCGAAGAATTCTTATACTGAACTTGAAATCTTGATTGGCTATAAGAACTCATTTGACAGCATAAAACAGTCTGCACGACAGCGCCAATTCTATAGTGTAAATATAAATTGTGTTGTAGGTACCAAAGTCGGCTATACTTCAGCGGTCATTCGTCAACTCAGCGACTATATCCCAACTAGTGACAGACACTCATCACTTTTGCCATATGCTGAATTACTTTTCAAAAACGAAGATCCAAGTTGCATTTGTCGATTCATTAAGAAACTATCACCCATTCGACTCTATGTATATGGTAATATGTTGTTCATTCCTAGTGAATGGAGCAAATTGATGATGGCGACTGAAATTGACATCATGGACGATGAAGATGACTGGTGTGCATTTCTCGAGAACGAGTATGTTGAAGATGAAATAAAATGGAATTTTGGCTTTATCTTTGGTCGACAGTGGAAAGTGTCGCGAGTGTCACCACTTGACCTCACTCACTTGGACGAAAATCCTCGATTTCACTCGGCACTTCGTCGAGCCCACGCTACTTTTGCTCCGCGACAAGTCGAAATTACTGCAGAGATATTTGACTGGCACGCAGATTGTATCAAACAAGGACATCTTCAAGAAGAAGTAAGAGTCCAAGAATTCTCTCCATATCATCTGATCATTTAATTAGCTTTTCTTTTCAATAGCCTAAATTGACTTATCAACAAACAGCAGTAAAATACAATAGGCACAGAGGAAAGTCCCACTTGGAGTTCTTAAGAAGACATCCTTTTCAACATCTGTTTTCTTTTGATTATTCTCGCTTCGATTCTCCGAAAGTCAAATTGGTTTCGTTTATATGGTTTGATGAAATTTTGCATGATACCGAAATTCAATTTCAGCGAATGATTGAACCATTTCAATGGCAATTTTTCGACAATGTATCATCATGTGCGTCATTCATTGAAATGCAATTACGAGAACAACGATACATATTTCTCATTACCTCAGGATCACTCGGTCACGAGTTATTTCTCTCAGGGTTGTGTTTGATGAAACAAATTTTTGCTGCATATATTTATTGTGCTCAACTTGACCCAAACTTGGATTGGAGTCGCGATTATTCGCAAATTCGAGGAGTTTATAATGACTCTACAATGCTTGCTAATCAAATCAAACGAGATTATAAACAGCTTCAAGTCTCTTTGAACATCTCCGACACTCAATGGCACACTGCATTGCACACCACTAACGAAAATAAAGTGAGATTGAATTTTATAGGAACATAAAATGAAAATTCAATGGTAGATTCAATAGGATGTTTTTCTTCAACAGTTTTAAAAAAAGTTCTAATCTGCCTAATATTTCAAAAATCTTAATTTATGGATGTCGGGCACTCGTTAGTCAATATTTCTGAATGTTAGTTTAAGAAAAGTAAAACTTCAAATCACGAAGTGCTTACATGAAATATATCCTTGTTGACTGCAAAATAGGAATGTTGACAATTACTACTGCATAGAAAACGCGTCAACTTAACGGAACAATTTCACCATGTTTCACCAATACTTGATGACTCAGTTTGTGCCTACTTAATTCGTGTCTTCATGATATTCAGATGATTTATAAACTTGGTCGGAGCTGGCGCGTAAAGGAGTAATTTTTCTTGAGTAGTATGCTCTGATAATGATTCATAGGGTCGTCAAAACATACATAGTGATTACCATACATATTTGATAAATACGATAATAGTTTATTGGGAATTTCAGACGTTCCCAGATATCTACAAAATTATGTAAAAATCCAAATTTTCTTAATTTTGAGTGATATTTTTTTTCTATCTATTTGACAGGAGTCACTTCAACTGTTGCATACGAGAACAAAAACATTGTTGTATATTCTATTCTCTAGATTGTACAGAATACAGAAGATGTAAACTTGTCATTGCCACTACCAATAACTGTTTATAATCCAGAACAATCTCATTTGTTCATGGCACATCAACGAACAATTGACACTTTACTTTGCATGCCGCATACACTTGAATCAAAAGCAGAAATGCTTGCTGAATTTCGTTGTATTTTCAATGATAATCAAGAGATTCTCGTCCAGATTGATAACTTTGAAAATACTTACCATTCGAATGCAGCTGTACAATGGTACACACGAGATTCTTTTGTTTGGAGAGCAATTAATCAAGCACTTCGATCAAGTAATGCTGACGCGATGTTTAAACTGCGGTACATTCTTACTGACATTTATGCTCATTTGGATGAATGCTATCGACAACTGTATCGGTCATTTCGAATATCAAAAGCGGAGACATTTTATCGTGGTCAATTGATGTCAAGAGAAGAATTCGATTTATTTAAAGAACTTCGAGGTAGTATCATTTCGATAAACACATTCTTATCGACGACAGCATCGATGCAAATTGCACTAATGTATGCGGGCAAATATCATGAAAATTCAAATCTGATCTCAGTCGTATTTAGCATTGAAACAAATTCAGCGACGCTTATACGTCCATACGCTAACATTTCTCATTATTCAATGTTTAACGATGAAGAAGAAACTCTTTTTGCTATGGGTTGCGTCTTTCGCATAGGCAATATTCGTCCACTACCAAATGCAGACAACGTGTGGGTTATATATTTACAAACAGTGGATAAATATGATGATCGATTCAGTAGAATTTCTTCGGCAACTCAGTAGCTTTCTAAGAAATGACAACAGTAATTTTATTCTTGTAATCGAGAAATTCGTTTAGCTATTCAGTTATCTTATTAAAATAAAATAAGAAAATCACTTTGATTCCCCTTAAAAACGAATATATACTCCACAGTTTCATGTTTTTTACCTCTCAATTTTCCCTTCGCATTATGGATTTTTTCTTCAAGTAGATCAATTGTCATTTTTATTATTGCTCAGCACTTATCATTTCGATGAACATTCGATTTCTCATAGATCTACAATCCTCATCGATCGACCAATTTTTTATCCTTATCATTGGTGTTCAGATTCCAATCGAAGTTAACACAGTCAAAGAGAACACATAAAATTATAAGAAATCAAACGATGTTGATCACAAGTAGAAAACGCTTCTCATTTTGACATCTAGCACACCACATGCACAAATGCGAAAAAATAATCATTGAATTGTTTGATTATCAGAACATTGTTGTGAGGTATATCAAAGGTCTCAGAGAAGAAGTGACATTTGTTTGATATTTTTCTGCATAAAGTGTCTGTCTCTTTTTCTCCTCGTAATGTGTCATGAAATTCGATGGCAAATAAACTATTTTTCTACCTTTCGCAGTTTCAAAAAATATACATATATATAATTGTATTTCAAGATACGACTAATTCTTTTCGGTGCAATATATTTTGTCTATGTTACAGTTTATACATGAATACCTTAACCCTCGGATGCTCAAGCTATTTTTTAGAGATAATATGATAACATGTATTTGTATTCTATGATTTTGATTACCGGACCCGTATTCTTGCCAAAATTAGATTATTTTCCTCTTCAGTCTTATAAAGCAATTATTAGAATGATAGTTTTCCTTTATTTAGAACAGTTAATACAAAAAATTCGCTGAACAGAGTGCTCATCACAAACTGGGTCTGAACAATGATAACATTTATTTCGAACTTTTCTATCTTTGGAATGATCACAAAGCGAACATCGTTGACGTTTTGAGTGTGTAAAGTTTTCACTTAATTCTTCTGATGGTTGCTTTATGACAGGATAACCGACAATGGCCAATGTATTTTGAATATCTTTATGTAAAAATTTAGAAGTTTTCGAGCGGTGATCAAGAAGATCAGCTGTTAGACTTTTCCCTAATTCTTCAAGGAATAAACGACGTCTATGTGTTTTATTGTTATTCCAATGAGGATTCTTTTTCTTCCATACGATCAGAGCATTTATAGCAGCAATGTCTATCATACCATAAAAGACACATAGGGGCCATCGCTTTGTGCTTCTTCTGACTGCGTATTGATGGCATATCTGACTGACAGTATCAACGGAACCTTTATTTTTGTTATATTCTAAAATGACGATAGATTTCCCATCTTTCGAGTTCACTTCGTTATCATGATGTTTGGAAGAAAGCAACAAGACAGCTTTATTTCTTTTTGGAACATATGAAATCAGAGTTAGATTATCCTTGAAAGCAAACAATGAAGAACCGACTTGGCGACTTGTGTTCGACAGAAATTCCATAGAAATTTCAGGCTTATTCTTTCTTAATGTTCCGATTAAAGTAAGCTTCTTAGTTTGTAGTTCTTTCGCTAATGGAATACCTGTGAAGAAATTATCCACTGTTACGTTCCTGTTAGAATCATACATTGGTTTCGTCAACTCTAAAACCACATTGGGACCTATCTCTTTTTGTCTTTTCTGGCCAGGTTGTCGTCCAATATAAGGAATTGCATCGAATACATAGCAAGAATTGGTATCGACACACATCCAAAACTTTATTCCGTATTTATCGGACTTTTTTGGCATATACTGACGAAAAGAACATTTTTCTCGAAATCCCATCAAATGCTCATCAATGGTAACATTAGGACCCGGTAAATGACATTTTGTTAAGTTGTTTCGGAAATCTGACCAGATTTCACGAATTGCCGCAAATTTATCTGTTTGCTTTCTTTCGTCTCTTGTTGCTTTATCATTGAATCTTAGACAGGAAGCAATAATTTCAAAGCGATTGCGAGACATGGTAGCCCTAAATATTGGAGATTCTAGTGGACTCATGCTCCATAAAGACCTGATGCTTTTTCTTGATTTTCCTAATAAACCGGCTAGTATTAGAAGCCCAATGAAACCTTTCAATTCAATAATTGTTATTTCTTCAAATTTATCATCAGAAGTGCAGTTTTCGTTTCCGTGAATATTTGTATATAGTAAAATTTTCTTTAACATTTGCTCCGATATAAAGCATAGAAATGAATCTTCAACAGAGGCTACATTCTTGGTAATTTCTGTGGGTTTAGATGTTTCAATTATATTAGTACAAAGCTTTGTATTTGGCGAATAAGACGGAGTAGAAGACCAAATCATACCGGATCTGGAACTATATGAACTTTGTTGAGTATATTTGTCATTTNAACAAAAATCTCAAACTTTTACTAGAAATCGTCTACAATTTCGCAACATAAATGCATTACCAAAGATTTTTCAGTTTCGTTAGATGTTCGTAAGCTGCCTCTTTTCCCATCACAGGACAATCAGAGCACCAATAGAAGGATTCTTGCTCAAAAATCTTATTCTAGCTACAAAATGTATGGCTTTTTTCATTGATTTAAAGTTTGACTCTGGTGCTTTACTCTAGTTAAAACTCTTTTCACAGTCGTCCAATCGAATGATTCTACTTATAATGACTTATTCATCAACGTCTGGATAAAAGTATTGCTACTATTCAACCTCTGAAGGAGAACTACCTCTCACATTCGTAATCTTTTAGCTTTTTCATTTATGTTTTTTTTTTCTACTTCATATATGCTTCAAAGCATCCTCTGCCTACTGGATATATTTCGAGAATTAATATATTACTATGAAAGTCGAAAAATCAGAAACTATAGAACATTGTCTCTGGAAAACATCCAAACGTATGCGTTATTCTGTTATTTTTCAAAATGAGTTTTTGTACAAAAAACAGTCAAGAATTACCCGCATTTCTCTATCACAGTACATCCAATCAGCTGAAAACTTTCTTCTCCTTATACTAGGAAATATTTAGGCAGTGCAGTATTTTTTTTTTTGTTTCAAAACGGTAGTTACCTATAGCTTTTACCCAGGTTTTATAAAAATAATCTCCAGCTTAAAAACCCCAAACCATGCATTTTTAGAGTGCATTCAGTATTTTGATCTTTTCATTCGAATGGAAGGAGATAAAAATAAACAAAAAAGAAACTAGGTACTCTAAGAAGTATATAGTATCAATTAAAAAAGATTTCAATTCTATCGGACGTATTGCAGTTGAAACAGTGGACGATTAGAGGAAGCAATGAACTGTACTGCTTGCAATCCCAAAACCACATAGAAGATCCTATTTGTGACTTTTGAGGCTAGAAACACTTTACCTCAACTCATAAAAATATATCTACTCTCAAATTTTCAAAGTTGTGCGATCAGCTGTTCTCTAACAGTACTGGAATAGCAGAAGTTTTTCGTTAAACACATAGAATATTTCACAAGAATATTTCGCTATGCTTTGAATACTGAACATACGCATAACTGCATGATGGAAACAATAACTTATCTAAAAAGTTTTTAAAAAATCCTCTAATGTCGTAATCGAAAATGATTCATTTATCCAGCGATCTAAGTTCTTCATCAATTCTTCTTATTAAGATGGTGTGCGTCTATGTGTGATTGGGTATTGCTGTGCATTCTTCTTTCTGAATCACAGACACGGGCATATTCACCGCGGAAACTACCTCTCACACCCACATGTACACCTAGATCTAGCTCAACCACGCGCATACCAACAGCAACATATTCACCTGTACCACCTACATCGTCATATTTATAAAGGTTTTGGATTGTTCTGCTGAATGTTCGAATTTGAGAAATTCTTCAAAAAGTCTACATGTCAGGACGTAACAGAAAACCATGGTCGTCTATTGTGAAGGATTTATTTCAATTCATGAGGCACAACCATGAGTTTCTCATCAGACTCATTCAATGACAGTACTAGTTCATTTCCACGAAAAGCCGTAATAAAATCCTAAATCATTTCGAGCCCCTATACTTGATTTAAAACATCTGGCACCGTTGAAACTCATCACAAAGTCCATATAAGTGCTTATCTTTCAAAAGCTAGTAGGACGAATTTAAGCAGTTTGAAATAATGTGTCCTTGGAGCATTGCAGAAATTTATAATGACAGGTAATGTTCATGCACACACAGACCCCTAAGTCTTTTCTTAAAGAACAGAGCTGTAATGCATTTTACAAGTTGGAACCAGTTATGATCATGTAACATGGGCAACTAAATATGCAGCCATCTTAATCAAAATTTAGTGAAAATATTCAATTTCCCATAGGTAATGACTTTTTCGTAAACTCAATGCGATGAAAATGTTGAACCATCAACAATAAATGACAGATTGTTTACATCAATAAGTTTAAATAATATATGCTTTTGAAGTACGATACAGACGATATCGTCATGATAGCTAGGACTTTGTCGTTTCTCAACACATAGCATAATCGAAAATTTTAATGATTTGCATAGTTTATTCGTAATAAAAACACTGTTTCGAACAAAGAGATAAATATCAACACCATCGAAGCGCTTAGTAGAACAGCAGACTTCAAAATTACAAAAAATTGTTTGATGTTTGTCTTAACTAATAGCAAAGGAAGTCGATATTGTTAGTGAACTTCGTACTACCAAGAAAAGTGTATAAACCTCGAGGCAACTGCCAGTGCCACTCATTCGAGCATCAATTTCAGTTATGATAGTCACACTACCACTTGCGCAAGCAGCTGTTATGATTCTCAGAAAAGAAATCCCATAATAGGTTACAGAGTCAACGCTGTAAGAATAATTGTACGTGGAACCGTGGGCATCTCGATTTTAATTTTCGTACATTCCTTGATATAGCCTAAAAAAGTCAAAGACCCAGCATCCATAAGTTAGATGTTAGATCCTGATTTTGTCACGATTTTCTTTCTTTTCCAGTATTTAACCT